AAGGAACTCAGTGCCTGGGTTCGATAGGAAACCAAGCCCCTAGGTTCCTTCTCGAACCCAAGCCCTTGGGTTCACGAAGGAACCCAGGTCTTGGGTTCGAGAAGGAACCTAGGGGTTCTTTCGAGAACCCAACTCTTGGGTTCTAACGAAACCCAGCGGCTGGGTTCTCGAAGGAACCCAACGGAGATTGTTGGTACAACTTTTTTAGGGTTCAAAAGGGAAGAAGAGGGAGAAGATAGTGAGTTTGGGGGGGCAGGAGGTGGACCCCACAATTTTTTTTTTTTGTTGGCTCAGAACCTGACGTGGTTTATGAGTGGTTTATGACATGTGCCATGTGTACAGTTGACGTGTCACAATATTTTTACTTGTCATCATACTCAGTTAATTAACGAGACACTTCACTATATTTTTAGCGGAAGGACTAAGTTGGGGTAAAATGGGTAAACAGTAAGGACCAAATTAGAGATTTTTTTAGTTCAAGGACTAAATCGGGGGTCCGTACAATAGTTCGGGGACCAAAAAGGGGTTTTAACCTAAATTATAATATAAGAGACAATTTTATTTTAATTTGTAATTAATTTTACTTATATATGTAAGTTAAATTTAAAATTTTTTTATTTTTACCAAACAAAAATTGTTAACAAACTTGTTATATACGTTGTCGGTCTTTTTTCTCACAACATTGACAGTGGAGGGTGTTTTTTTTTTTTATTGATTTATTACTATTTGATAATTACATTAAATTTTAATTAATTTAAAATCAAATCATATTGAATCTCACAAAAAAAATTTTAATACTTATTTTTTTTATTTGTAAGACTCAAATTTAATATTTTATTTAATAAAAATTAAATTTGTCTCACTTAAATCAATATAATATTAATTTGACAATAGATGGTATTGAATAAATAAATAAATAAAATTTTATGTTTTTAAAATCTTTGCACCGTCCTGATACTAGAGGGAAAAGACAGTTCAACAAACATGCTTTTGTCTGGCAACCAATTCAAACAGCGACACGTGGAATTAAAATACCATACGTGTTCTCGTGTTGCAGATTGCAAAACCGTCAAACTGCCAACACGACGCGTCTGGACGCCCCTATAACCCGCTGCCGCTGTGTGAAACGGCTAGGGGATCGGACGGAACCAACAGTGTCGACCATGGAGAAAGGGACCAAATTTGTAAACCCAATGATTCGAGCTCAATCTTTAAATGATTGAGTGAGATGTTCGAAATTTTAAATTTTACTATTATTGTAAACTCTACCAAAAAATTGTTCAATGGTCACATGCTTCATTTAAAGGGATGGAATGATCACTCGATCTGATAATCGAATCTCCAATTACTAACAACTAATTCAAATTAACTTTCTAATCATTATCTTTATAAAATAAAAAAAAAAAACCAAGCAAAAAGAGAACTCTTTTATACTCTGTTTAAATTGATAAAGTTAAAAGAAAAGATGGAGGAGAGCGAAAGAAAGGATAAACTTTTAATTATTTAAATAAATAATTTTAATAAAAAAGAGAGATAAGAGAAAAATAGAACTTCCTCCTTTTTTTGGTTTTTAATCTCTTCCATTGAAAAGGATCAAAATAAGTTAAATTACTTAATTTGTTTTTATTTTTATTTTTAAAAAATAAATATATGTAAATATTTTATTTTAAATCATTATTTAATAAATAAATTTTAAAAATTTTATTTTTTATATTTTTATAT